GGCAGCAGTTGGGCTCCTGGAAGCCACGTCCATGCTGAGGCTGTGGCTCAGGGCCAGCAGAGCTGCCTGGCCCCAAACTTCTCCATCTGTGCTGCCTGGAGGGGAGGAGCTGTGAGCAAACCCACGCTGCCCTGCTTGGGGAATCCCCACTTAGGAGCTCCCATGAGGGAACAAAGCCTCTTTTACCCCCTGGAACCTGGGCTGGCAATCTGAAGCAGCCTTTGCTGCAGCTCCTCCTTGCGTGGGCTGGGTCCAGGCTCTTCCCAGCCCATTTCTGGGGCTTTGATCCAAGTCCATGGACATTTTGCTTTAACTCCTCTTCTCTGTGTTCTCCATCCCCTCCCTCAGTGTTCAACACAGTCTATAACAGCGACGACAACGTGTTTGTGGGTGCCCCCACGGGCAGTGGGAAGACCATCTGTGCTGAATTTGCCATCCTGAGGATGCTGCTGCAGAACTCAGAGGGCCGCTGCGTCTACATCACCCCCATGGAGGCCCTGGCAGAGCAGGTGAGCCCTGCTGAGAACCAGAGCCTTCCCCTGGCTCTCCTCATCCCCTTTTTGCTGTCACATCCATCGGGATGACTCCTGAGCCTTTGGATCAGTTGTGGTCCCTCTCCTTCCCTGCTGCTGTCTGAGGGGTTGTGTCTGCAGAGATTCGGTCGGATCTCTTCCCATCTAAGGTTAACAACATCCCTTTGATTTTTTGGCAGGTCTTCATGGACTGGTATGAAAAGTTCCAGGAACGTCTCAATAAGAAGGTTGTCTTGCTGACGGGGGAGACCAGCACTGACCTGAAGCTGCTGGGCAAAGGCAACATCATCATCAGCACCCCAGAGAAGTGGGACATCCTCTCACGGCGTTGGAAGCAACGCAAGAACGTCCAGAACGTCAACCTCTTCATCGTGGATGAAGTCCACCTCATTGGGGGCGAAAACGGGGTGCGCCTGGGGGGGTGGGAGAGGGCAGGGGGACCTCCAGGGGTGCTCCTGGTGGTGTGGATCTCAGCAGCAGAGCCACGCTGGGGTGGGACTCACTCCTCGCCTCCGGGCTCGACTGGTCCTGCTGGGAGTTCCCCCGAGCTGCCGTAGCTTGGGGTCTCCCCCAAGGTCTCCGTGGGTGACCCCCCAACCCTGCCGTGGG